TTGTCTAAGGCTAATGCATTAGAGATAAAACCCAAGTAATTAGTAATAATTTAAAAATGCACCACATTAAGTGAATTTGAATCATATTTTGATTTTTGCATTTACTTTGTCTGAAAGGAATTGATTAGTGTTGGCAATGGATATTGAGGTTTTTCAGATGGGTTCCTTCTGAAGAGATAAGGCTGGCATAAATTTTAAAAAGGATTATTAATGAGATGCACCTGAATCCAAAGGGTTCCTGTCAAATCTGTACCTCGTGATCGTTTTCTAGCCTGGATGAAATTTGTGAGGCAGTCCTGGAAGAGGCACTTTGTGAGAGAGCCTGATGAACTGGAGCTAAGCTTGGGCACTTGTGAATTGTCACGCAATAACTTCTGTATTGCTTTGCTTTCTACCAAGAAAGAGCTCAGTAATTAACACGCTCTTTTCTGAATGCTGGCATAGGACTGTCCCTGAATCATGTCTCCTCCACTCGGTAAACCCAACGAATATCTGTATTTTTCCCTGAGGAGTATAATGGTAGGTCCAGGAATGTTTTATAGGTTGAAACCAGAAGAGCTTCTCAAAACCACAACAGGGACATCCTAAGTGTTGGAAAACTTCATGGCTTTGTTTCAGCCTTCCTTAGACAGCTTTATTGTTCAGTGCTGATGGGCCCTGAAAAGATTGGATGTGACGTGCTGCAGAAATAGTGTCTGCAAATCCCAACCCCGTGAGATGGATCTTGGTGTCACCAGGTAATGGCACAGATGACACTCCCCAATACTTCTTCTAGCACAAGGTCTTGCTTTAGCTGTCGTGTTTCTCTGATGGATTTCCACAAAAATGTTTAGATTTCTGTGCCTACATGAATAAACTGAGCACCACAGACGTATTGAACTCTTCAGTTCCAGGAAGCATCGTGCTTGCTGGAAGCAGACTGGGGACATGCAACACCTCCATCTGCTTCCTGGGAGCAGCAGACCTCATGTGTCACACATGTGTGGGAAAACTGCAGCTTTCAGGAATATTTGGTGGGTTGAATGTTCTTCTGCTGGTCTGTAGCTGTAGAAATATCTGGGATTTGAAGATACTCGGCTGCCTGGTCAGGAACTCTGAGCAGTAGGTTTTGCTAGTTTTCCAAATGCTCTGAACAGAAGAATACACACAGAGTTCCCCTTCCCCATCCTGTGAGACGTGACTTTTAGGCAGGAGGCACCATTTCTGAGGGGAATCTGAATTGACAGGAACCTTCTTAGGTTGAATATTATAGAAAGATTCTTCCCCCAGAGGGTGGTTGGGCACTGGATGGGCTCCCCAGGGCAGTGGGCACAGCACCAAGGCTGACAGAGCTCAAGGAGGGTTTGGATGATCCTCTTTGGTGTGACCCTTGGGAATGGGTCTGTGCAGGGCTAAGGTTTGCACTCCATGATCCCTGTGGGTCCCTTCCAACTCAGCATACTCTGTGATTCTGTGATTCTTGTTGTTATCAGAAGCTGTTTTTCTAATGACATTGGAAAAAAATAGGGGAAGAGTCTAAGCCCCTGGAGGCAGTTTTGTAGTGCCAGTGGGAGAAGGATCTCGTCACTGTGATGTCTTTATTTTGCTTCTCAACAAAATGCTTATCCCTTACAGGCAAGCACAGATAACAGTATATGGTGTGTGTCCTAACACATTACACTGATTTATCTCATCCCACGACCCTCTGAGGTCCTTCTACAGGACTGGATGCAGTCCCATTTGGACTTTAATTGCAGGCTGCTGCTCAAAAGCACGTTACTCGTTGCCACTCAGGATGGAAAATGTGCAGGACTGATTTGTATACGTTTTCCCTTGGGAGAAGTTGGAACCTTTGCAATGGTGGGGAGTGAGAAAATAAAAATACGTTAAATAAAAGTCCCATCTTAGAAAAGTTACTGTGACAGCAGTATTTTCTCATGCCAGTGAAATGAGCTTGTTCTTTTAAAAACTTTCTATACATGCCATGAGTTTCTCAAGAAGTCACAGTTATAAAGACTGTCCACTGTTGTCTTGGTTTTATGTGACTGCAGCATTTTGTTTGAATTTCTTTTGCAGATGTTGAGCAATGACTATGGATGTATTTGTGTTTGCCCTCCTAATCTGATTTGTGCAGTTGAAGTGAAAAAAGTTCTGTAATACTTCAGAAACAATGATGTTATTTGTTTTGTGACATTGCCTCTTTTGGTCATTGAATCTTATTTTTGCAAATGGCCAATAATATTAAAAAAACCACCCAACAGCCTCAAATCCAGACAAAAACTCCAACAAAACAAACAAACAAATTAAAAAAACCCCAAATGCACACTCAATATGTACACTCCCACCATCCTTATTCAAGCCCACATATTTTGCTCTAAAGATTTTCTTTTAATTCAGAAAGAAAAAGCTATTTTCCTTTTCCTGGAGTTTTGCTGTTGGCCATTTCACAGATTCACAGAATGGTTTTGTTGGAAGGGACCTTAAAAACCATCTTGTTCCAAGTCCCTGCCATGGGCAGAGACACCTTCCACTAGCCCAGGTTGCTCCAAGCCTCATCCAGCCTGGCCTTGAACACTTCCAGGGATGGGGTAGCCACAGCTTCTCTGGGCAACCTGTGCCAGGGCCTCCCCACCCTCACAGGGAAGGATTTCTTCCTAATATCTAATCTAACCCTGCTTTCTTTCATCACTCTTGTCCTGTCACTCTATGCCATTGTCACAAGTCACTCTCCTCCTCTCTTGTAGCCCCTCTGTTTGAAAGAAGTAAATCTGCCTTTCTTTAACTTTTCATAACGGAGAAGTGGAGGGAAGAAAGTGAAGTTCTTTGCAAGAGCCAACAGTAAACTTATCTAACATGTTGAAGTCACTGTTTATTTTGTTGTATATCATTTATCATTTTACAGCCAAGTACTAGAGATGCCAGCATGGCACTTCACAGATCTCCAGTAAATCTCCTGTCCCAGGAGATCTTCCACTGACAGGCAGACAATTAGTATTTGCAGAGTGCTGCTAACTTTGTTACAGTTGTTTACCAAATACAAAAGTTGTGTGCATTACAAGTGATAGATGTATCCTTCTTTTCATTGCAATAACAAAAAGTTCAGTCTGCTTGGCAATAGTCAAGATTTTTCCACTTAATCTAACATGAATGGCAAAATCTATTCATTGAAGGAGGCTGGTGAAAGATTTGCAAAGGACTGTTTTAGTGTCTAAAACAGAGCTGGGTTTGTTTAGTCTTTTTTTTTTTTTTTGGTCAAAATCACATGATATCTCATTTTTTTGCCTTTGGAGGCATTAATGTACACATCCAGAAGTGCTTTTCCAAATCCTGCAAAACATTTGCCTCATCTTTGGTTTTCAGCATGTAAAAGAAAAAACAACACAAGAAAACCTGATGTCAAGATGTACTTTTTTGGTAAGTCTGGACATCAGTTTGAACCTTCTACGTAAGTGGGAGCACTGATACTCAGAAAATGAAATAGCAGATGGAAATCTAAAGTTACAAATTTTCTGCTGCCATCCATTGGTTTAGGCATTACCTGAAGGTCACTGTCTTGTACAAGGGGAAGCTTGGTGAACTTGGGCTGATCTTAAAGCTGCCCCTTTTTTGGTCTTCACTAGAAGTCTGACTCTCTTCAGTGAGCTCAAAAAGGCTGGTTTGTCCCTTTGCACACAAGCACAGTGGAACCAACGTGTGTGTGTTGTGTGTGTGTTCATAAGTAGTTTGTTAATACTATTTGCTGATTTTAAAAGAAAAAACCACAAACAACCAAAGTCGTATTTGTTTGGGTGCAGTACAAGGGGAAGTTTTGTACAGATGTGTCTGTCCTTCCAGGTACTCCCTGATCTCCAGTTCTTTTGCTCTGATGCTTCTCCCATAACTTCCCAAATGGCCTCTATTCTTCCCTGGGGTCCCAAGAGCTCTCCTCACCCTGGTTTCACTCCCAGCAATCTGAGTGTAGCTTAGCTAAGAACCTGTGTTGAAGAATGACAGCTCTGGAGCCCTGCTGGTTTTGCATGATCAGTTTATGTACATAAATACAGAATCTAATCATCCTGGACTGGCTTTATGGCACAAACCCACCTCTAAGCCACAGGTCTCCTCCCAGTCCCTGCCTACTGAAGCCAGGAAGGTGTTAGGGGCAAAAATAAATTACTGCTGCTCCTTCTTACAAATATGAGAGTTGGGTATTAATTTTTCCAGCCTTCTCCATAGCTGTATATGCATTTCCATGGATAATGCCCAAGCAGTGTAAAAACTCCATAACTTTTACTCCACTCAGAATATAGGAACCAGCGTTGTATTTCTCTTCATACTCTTCTTTAGCTGGATCCAGACAAGGTATAACTGAAGTGCAAATGTAAATTTTGCTTTTTTAGTTTAAAGGGGATTTTGCTGTAAATCAGATAACAGGCCATTACCAAGATCAGCCTACTGAGGATTGATTTGGATATTGTAGGAATGAACTGGTGCTGTGATCAATTGGACTCTGCTGTGCAAAGACAGAATTGTCTCTCTGTCCTTATCTCTTCCTAATAAATACAAGAATGACTGCAGGCTCCAGTTATTCTTGTATTGAAAGAAATGGAAATTTTTCTCGTTGAAATTCACAGACATTTCATCCTAGAGGATTTATTACTTTTTTTCCCATCCTCTCTGATAATAACAGCAGAACTAATAAATGTTCTGTAGCTGAAAAGATGATTTTTGAACACTGTATAAATCTGTTCTAGATAAGCCATTTATGCCAAACTCTGCATATAAAAGGGAAGGAGAACAATAATGTCTCACCTCCTGGAATAGAAGAATATTATCACATTGGGGTTTTGCTTCTAGGTGCTATGATTTTTGAATTGTTTTTTGAATCTGGGTTTGCATGTCCCTATTTCAGCCAGCTGTTGACATGTCTTTGTCCAGCGGAGTTTCCATTGCCAGAAGCTTTACAAGTTTGATTACACTAAACAATGTACAGTCATTTGAAGTTATGAAAAATAACTTAGTTACTCTCTGTCTTTTTCAAGGAGTAACTGGGTGACCTCTTACAGAGTCTTGGTGAGCAATGACAGCCACGCATGGACTGCTGTCAGAAACGAATCTGGAGACGTGGTGAGTATGAGGAAACAGATGTTTTATGATAAAGAGCAGAGGCTGGAAAGCAGGGGGCTGGCCATCTGGAGTTTTGATTTGCCAGATTAGTCAGTGCAGCACTTAAAGGCAACATCTCCCAGTGGTCCCCCTGATTTTAAGAGCAAATCACATAGTAAAGAAAGGGACCCAGAGTGCCCCTTCTGGCAAGGCTGTGTCTGCCTATGATAAAATGCTTTTCTTGTTGCTGGCCCATGCTGGGATTAGCATCAATTTGCTGATCCCTGAGGACATCTCATGCCTATTTTCAGAGAGAGGCTGTAGAGCTCCGAGGGGCATGAGGGGATTGTGCTCTTTGAAGAGCAGTTCTGGCCTGGGCCACCATCAGCCTGGGGCTCGACTGGGTGATTTCATTTGTTTCTGTAACCAAAACTGCTAAAAGACCTTTTGAAGAACTGATCTTGCCATTTTCTTATGTTTGACCTGCATAGATTTTTACAGGAAACAGTGAGAAAGAGATCCCAGTTCTCAATATGCTGCCGGTGCCACTGGTGGCACGTTACATCCGGATAAACCCCCGCTCCTGGTTTGAGGAAGGAAGCATCTGCATGAGACTGGAAATCTTGGGCTGTCCTTTGCCAGGTAAGAGATTTCTCAGTTGATGTTGACATGGCTTTGTGCCAAGACTCAGAATTTCCATTTCCTTTGAATATCTTTTCTTTTGATATAATACTTTAGACAGAGTAGAGTTATGCAAAAAGAAACCGAAATACCTGTCCAGAATCATAAGTAGTATCAGGATAACTTTTCACAGGCAAACCCACAGTAAGTGGCTTTATTAATAAAACAAGATTGCCTGGGAGATACAACAAGATTTTCTTAGTTGTTTGAGCTTAAATACAGTGCAATTAATCTTACTGAGTGCACAGGTACTATGGTGGCAATAGGATTATGTATTGGGACAGACACTTGCAGATGTCTTAAGCTTCCAAAGCAAGAAAAAACAATTATAATTCTATAGCCTGATTTTTTTTTTTTTATTTTGTTCCTTAAGCCATAGGACTTCTCTGAAATATTTTGAAGGCAAATAATCTGACTCAACTAGTGCTTATCTTATAGGGGGGAAGAGAGGGAAGTGGGGGTGTAAGGAATTCCTAGCAAATTTCAAGTGTTATTAAATCCAGCATGATCCATGGTAAGTCAAAAGTGAAAGTAAATGGTCCTATGCTATGAAAGACCACTTAAAAAAACCCAAACAAACATTCAATACTGCAAATTCTGGCAAGGCCACGATTCTGTTAAGCACATTGTAAATAGTCTTGTAGAGGATTTATGTCTTCATATGTATGTGTATGTATATAAATAGTTAAAAACCTGTTTGCTCAAAGCTTTTCTAAGTCTCTCACTGCTCATTCCATGCCTCTCATCTGCTTTTATTTTTAATTTGATCTCAAATTCTGGCACCTTGGGGAGTTTTTTGCAGAGGGCTATAAATAGTATTTTCAAAATACTGGAGCCAGAAGGAGAACTGCCTTTCCAGAGCTTTCATTATATCTACCTCTGTTCTGAGTCTTGCTGCCTCCAATTCCACTGTTGATGTAGGGTCTCCACATGCCAAGCAGAGGTAACCTGATTTTTTTGTCCTTTAGATGTTTAAATACTCGAGGGAGAAAAAAAACAACCAAAAAACCAACAGTTTGGGGCATGGAAGGGATAATTCTCTGGGAAGGGGTAATTCTCTGACAAAGAGAAGTATGGGGCAAGTACTGTCGTAAAACTTTGTAGCTGTGTTACCATAAAGGTGTGAAATTTAGGAGCACATAGACAACTGCTTATCTGTGGGTAAAAAATATATCCTGGATTTCATGGCAGTGACCAGGGGTGCCCTGTGCATGTGAATTTTTATGTTCTCACTAGGATTCTGATTTCTTTCTCTTTCTGCTGTGGGTTTAGAGCACTCCAGCTCTGTGGGTTGCTCCTTCCCCATTGTACCTCTTACCCTGGATGGGCAATTCCACAGCCAGTATTCCCCTTCAGCTCTTGAAAGAACTCCCAAAGAACAGTGATCTATCCCAAATTCCTATGCAGGTTTGCAAAGGATCCACTCTGTATAAACCAGGTGTGAGGCTGAAGGAAAACTGAGGCTTTCTTCAGCCCCATGACTTTACAGAGAGGTCTCCAGAGATGACAGAGAGGGCACGGGGATGAAAGAGATGACACTCAAACCATTTGGGAGGGTAACTGGTAGGGAAATTCTCATGGGTCTTTTCTATTCCCTAAAAGTGTAATCAAAGAGGAAAGAGCAAAAATGTCAGTATTTGGGAAGGTGATTTTTAGTTAGCACAGTAGTTACTTCCCCCAGATTTTTGTTGGCTATATACCCACTCAGGGCCAAACTCTGCTTTGCAGTGTTAACATTTGTCACCCTTCAGCTTCCTGGGGCTGTGTCAGTGGGTAAAGGTGAGAACACGTCTGCACTTCCACCACTGTTTTGCTGAGTGCTCTTACAGCTTGTCACAGGTCTTGCATTAGCATGGAAACAGCATCAGTGCATCTTCCTGCTAGTCATTTATTGAGTTAATTGCCCGCAGTGTCTGATTCAGTATATTCCTGAAAGAAAATACCAGAATCATTCATTGAGAAACATAATGGGAATGGGGTGTGTTCATTACAAAATGTAATTGGACTGAAAGAACTAATAGGTTTTGATAAGTGCTGACCCATCTTTTTAGCTCAGAAAGAACTGACATTTCATTCTTCTCGCTCATTTTATTCATCGCACGCGAGGAGCTCGAAACAAAGCTGCTCCTCAGGTTGAAGTGGCCTTTCCACGCACGTTTTCTTCCTGTAGGACATGGCACTTTTTGCAGTTCACTCTAAGTGGATTCCTCACCCATTATTGGTGTCATCTTGCTCGTTCCAAGTTGGATAATCCAATGGTTTGGCCGTGGGAGCAGCGACTTTGACAGCGCTGCTCTGATACACTGCATCGTTTGTGTGACAGAAATCAGGGGTTCTGTCCTGACACAGTTTTTTCCATAAAACTGAGCAAGTCTCCTAAATTAATCAAAATCAGGAGGTGAAGCTCTGTTAGTTCACTTAGCTCCAGCCTTTCCAGAGCCCAAAGACCCATGAAAGAAGTTATGTGATGCTCTGTTTCCTTGAACACTGTGTGTGGTTTTGATTATTTTGCACCCTGAGTGTGAACATACAAGAAATCAAGTTGTCAGGAGGAGCAGTTTGGTCAATTTAGAGTCCCAAGGTAACACATCCTCCTGAGGCAATGACAATGCACAGGCACGTGGGGCATAGGGAAATAATCTCCAAAAAAAAGAAAGGTGGAAGGAAAGTAAGACATTTTTCCTGACTGTGAATTTCTTTTCATGTCTTCTAGACTTGTAATTTTAGGTTTTATGTCTTTATTAATCCTTGAATAAATTAAGTCATTTGCATTCAATCTGTGATCTGTATCAGCTTTTCATCATGCTGACTCACAGGGGAGGGTAATAAAGGAATAAGGAGAAAGTATAAAAGATAAAGAAGAAACCTGGGAAAGGTTAATATTCATAATTAATATTAATATTCTGGGAAAGCTTTTTAGCACTCTCAGAATGAGATGGAAATGGTTAAAGACAGCTAGGATCCATTCCTGTGGGTAAGGCTCTGACCATAAAACCTACTGCATGTGCTGGGTGCACTAAAAATTGGACAAATGAGAAAACTACTTGCATAATTGGAACAGAGAAGTTACTTGTTATCTAATCTGTATTTTACAAGATAATTGTAATTTTTATCATTGAAATGCTTATATCTTATCCATAACATACATTTTTGGTATGTTGTAGGCTAGTTTTGACAAACAACCTTTTCTAGACGGTTACAGTAGCTCTATAAAAAGAAGCTGTGTTATCCAATTGTGTCAGTAATATTTTTGGGGCAACAGAAATGATTTCCTGTTTCACCAAGGGAAAGACATTTATCTGTGGAGGAAAGATACCAGAAAATCCCACCTATAGCAGATGATCAGTGCTGCCATTTCTCACTGGGCTAAAAGAGGACAAAACCACAAGCATTTAATTCCTTCTCCACTTTCCAAAAATGTTGGTATTTACACAGATGCAGATTGACACACACAGTCTTTTGCAATTGCCTCAGAGGGATGGATGTACTTCCCTTGCCTTTTCTTTCTCAAACCTAAGGAGAGTCAAAAAGGAATTGCTTATGATCAAAAGCACCCAGAGATCGGAGAGAGAAAATTAGCTGAGCTCTTCATGCATTTATTTATATTGTACGGTATTCAAGGCAATAGGCAATTATTTTAATGGTATAAATTTGTGATGAAATTTAATTTTTAATAGTTCTTACACAGAAAACTATCATTGGTACCATGATTATGCCATCACTTTCAACCCATGCTAAAAAATGAACTTTAACAACTCTATAATGGAGTACTGTGTTTTGCAGTGGATTAAGTCCCATTTTCATTGCTTCTCTCTTAATGCCAGGCTACCTAGTCAAGTTTAGGACTGTGTTCATTTTGTATAAAAATGTGAATTTCTGCAAGTATCTTTTATTATAAGTGGTCATGTAAACAGCAGTACTCAGACTTACTTCTGAGAGTAAATCCCTCCTTAGGATGACAGTCTGTCTTTGGGTTCTACTTTTATCATTTCAAAGCTAAAACTTAATCTTGGACAGGCTAAAATTTTTTGTGAGTTTGAGCAAAGACTGAATAAAATGAGACCAAATTAGGTAATTCTCCTGGGAAAGGCAAATGTATTATGTTTCTCCATGCTCATCAAGACAGCTATGTAACATCCCCCAGCAATACAGTGGGTGTCATTAAAAGGTTTTGTTTCATATTTTATTTCTAAAATTAAGTGTGTATTATCCTGAAGAAGTGTTAAGAATCCTCAGAATTGTCATTATTGTCAGAATCAGGCTGCAGGAAATCATTAGAATGATAAAATGGTGGTAGAAAACCTTTAAGAAGCAACTATTGCAGATTAAGAGTTTGAGTTTCCTCTCACCCATTATCGTCACTCATTATGCTTAACTGGAATTAGTTGTTTTATGTTTGACTATACATCCACATGTATATAAAAGAATCCATTTATAGTTGAAAAATACTATTTCATTGCTGATTTTTTTCCTTGCTGATTTAATGTGTGATCTTAATGCTCGTGAGCAATGCTCATGAGACTGCCATGAAACAGGTCATGTGGAAAAAAAACTTGGAATCACCTGATGTGGCTGCCAGCGGATTTATTTCAAGATTACACATGTGCTGTCTGTGAGATGTTCAATTTTGTGAAGACAAGTCAAATTCACTTATATTACTCAGAAATTAAAAAAAATCAGTCATTTGCAAAGTAGCTCATTGAGGTTTTTAAGGCGATCCAAAGGATTTAGATGAGAATATTCTTTTTATTAAAATGTCTCTGGATCACTTGGATTGACTTCATTATCTCATATGTTGGAAGCACCATATGAACACAACTTCTGAGTATGCAGAACTCCTTTAATATGATACCATAAAGCTCACAGAAGGAATTCTGTGAGAATGAAGCATTGGGAACGCACATAAATTTTAATCAATAGATGAGACTCTTTTGATAGTATTGCTCTGTGAGTGTTGATTCCAAGACATCAGGAAGCTCACTTCATACCTTTCTAGCAGCAGTTAACACTGAAAACTAAAGTAGGAAAGAAAAAAAAAGACCAGCAGACGTTGTGGTGAGCAAAATAACTGGGAACCCTCAGGAAGCATCAGGGCTCCAGTGGTTGAGGTGCAGTGTTGAGCTGTGACAGAACAGAACAGAAAATCCCTTCTCTATGTCAAACTGCTGAGCAATTGGTCCTTTCTGGTACTTTTTATGGGCAATTCTCAGGGCTTTCATGCTGGAAAGGAGTTGGGCAGGGGAGGTACCAAGACGATCAGAGGGCTGGAGCACCTCTGCTGTGAGGAAAGGCTGAGAGTTGGGATTGTTCAGCCTGGAGAAGAGGAGCTTTGGGGTGACCTAACTGTGGCTTTCCATGCTCTGAAAGGGCTCCCAGAAAGATGGAGAGAGACTGTTTACAAGGGTCTGGAGTGACAGGACAAGGGGCAAGGGCTTCAAACTGAAAGAGAGTAGGTTTACATTGGCTATTAGGAAGAAATTCTCCCCTGTGAGGGTGGGGAAGCCCTGGCACAGGTTGCCCAGAGAAGCTGTGGCTGCTCCATCCCTGGAAGTGTCCAAGGCCAGGTTGGATGGGGCTTGGGGCAACCTGGGATAGGGGAAGGTGTCCCTGCCTGTGACAGGGGGAGAGATTGGAACTGGATGAATTTTAAGGATCCTTCCAACCCAGGCCATTCTGTGATTCTACACAATTCGAGTTTTCTAGTTTTTTTATTCTCTGTTTTGTTAAAGAAAATAATTTTTGCTGAAGTGGGCCCATCCAGCTGTGCACAAACTTCATGTGCCTTTCTAAATTTTAGCTTTCTGAATTTAGCTGCAGCAGAAATCCAGTGATCCAGACTACAGCAGAACCTGGCAAAATATGAGTGTTAATTCTCTAGGGAACTGTCAAATTGTACTCTGCTGTTGAGGAAGGGCCAGAGATACAATCATTCTCACTTTACAAATATTTTGAGTTTCCACCAACTCTACAGCATTCACAGTCATTCCCATTATATTAGTGTTTGATGTATGGAAAAAGTGCCAGACTTTGAAAGGAATGGGATTAAAGTATTAGGAAAAAAAATCAGTTGCTGTATATTTTGGCTCGTGGTGATATAGAAAACCTTCAACATCCTGGCAGTTTTATGAGGTTTATTTTTACATTTTTACAACAAAGGGATATTTTTTCAGTTATGAAGATATTCTGTGGGCCATCAGACAGATTGTGTGAGAAGAAGTGGGTTTTTTTATGATTTCTATTTTTTGGTCATCAACATATTAATGAATAATTTCTACAGATTAACATGGGATGACCTTTAAGGGTTTGGCTTTCCAGAGGGATCTGCAGAGTTAGGATTGCATTGCTGCTGTCGTGGACTTGCATCACTTTAGCCTGAAGTTAGACTGGAAAAAACCCAGGTCAGTTGTGTGAATCTTAATGCTCTGATTCTTCGAAACTGTTTTGGGTTTTTTTTTAAAAAATTAGCAAAGAAATCTTGTTCTCTCACCTGAATACAAGGGCATGCAGTGATAGGACAAGGGGAAATGGCTTTTAGATGAAGGAGGGCAGGTTTAGATTAGATATTAGGAGGAAATTCGTCCCTGTGAGGCCCCAGCACAGGTTGCCCAGAGAAGCTGTGGCTGCCCCATCCCTGGAAGTGTCCAAGGCCAGGTTGGATGGGGCTTGGAGCAACCTGGGCTAGTGGAAGGTGTCCCTGCTCATGACAGGGAGGTTGGAATGAGATGAGCTTTAATGTCCCTTCCAACTCCCACCATTCTGTGATTCTATAATTAAGGTCAAATTCAAGCCCATTTCCAGGTGGTCATTTTACAGAACTAAGTTCTCACTGGAGAGGACAAACTGTATGGAACAACTACACTTTGTTGGGGCAATAGGGTTTTTTGGATATTTTTCAGTCACATTTGTAGAACAACCTTCAACTGACCTTCCAGCATTTCTGCTGTAGATTAGGAAATGGAAGTGGAGACAAACTTGGGAATAAAGACTCAATAAGTGATTGAGAAGATGGGTAATGTTACTGTGAAGCTTAATGGAACCTGCATGCTTCATTCCATATATTCCTTAAATAGTTCAAAAGACCCAAATACTTTTAGAATTTTATGGGAATATTGAATGGTTTTAACGTAAAAATATGAAGTTTAAAAATTTTAAGTTCTAAAGTATTTTGAAGTATTTTCTGTAATTTTCTGTAAGTGTTTATTGCTGCAGGATATTAACTACATATTCTTCCTACTAAGAATTATGCTTTCCCCTCCCAAAAAAATATCACAGCTGTGGGGGATACTGTTTAAAAAAAAATGATTTTTATTCTCTGGAGACAATTTCTTTGGTTGTGTCGCAATAAGAGAGGATGATATTTAGACTTTCATACTTCACTTTTTTCCCAATAATTTTAAACCGATGAAGATGATTTTGTGTGCAGGGAAACAATTTTTCATAAAAGCCTGACAGCCACCGGCTTTACAAACGATTACTCAAAATTCCAGACATCCCAGATATGGCAAATTAAGGAATGTGTTTGATGTTTTCCAAATAGACTTGTTTGTCTCTGGAAATAAATCATAATAGATTAGATTAGGAGCACATCTATCAGGAAATTTAAAGCAGAGCCCTAACAGTCTTGGACTGTTTGTGTTTTTTTTTTTCCTAGGTGAATGGCCAGGAATGTCAAGGAGACAAAAGACTTTGTTCTATCTAAATATTCTCCTTTGATATTTCAAAATACACAAACTATAAATAATATCCATAAAGAAATGAATATGCTAATTTTTAAGTAACAAAGTCCTCTGACTTTCACAAAAACAGTTTTGGAGGATAATCAGGAATATTTAATATGCACAGTGGATCCTTTCTGTATTTTGCAAGCAGCACAAAGACTCTGAAAATACTCATCAAGAAAATTAATAGATAACTCTTTTCAATAGTAAATTAATCAAGTGGACACAAAACATTTACTGTGGCATTTTCCTCTAATTTGATTTTTCTTCCACTCTTTTAGCTTGCATCTGACTCATCATTTTCCAGTGTCTTTTCCCCTCCTCTGCAGCCCCAGGCTGCCCTTCTGCTTTTCTGTTCAAGTTTAGTACTTTGTGCAGAGTAGCTGCCTGGAAATCTGATGCCTCCTGGCTTCTATTTGGATCTATTGACTTGTGATTTGATTTGATGAGTTGATTCGTGCAGTAATTAGAAATATTTTAAATTAGTTGTCTGAGTTTTGCTTTTGAAAACCCTCCCTAAGTACATATGGGATAGTAGAATTCAGATTTCCTCTTTCCTACATGCGTTATGGCATAAAAAAAATTCTATATTTGAAATTCACGTGAAAATTCTTTTATTTCTTTTCTCAGACCCAAATAATTATTACCACAGAAGAAACGAAATGACGACCACAGATAATCTGGACTTTAAGCATCACAACTACAAGGAAATGAGGCAGGTAGGCAAAGAGGCTGGAGGCTGGAGGGTGGAGGGTGCAGGCTTTTCAGGTCTTCTGGAATCTGGATTCCACTTCTTAAAAATATTGTTAAACAGTGTCTGCAATATCTTTTTAAAATATTTTTTTCCTGTTTTAATTTATTAAAATTTGTACATAAACTAACCTTAAACAGGTGACTACATGACAGAGGGAGTATCTACTCATAATGTGACATTATTTTTCTTCCATTTTTATTTGAGTGGGGAATGACACAGTTTGTCCTTTCAAATTTCACCCTGATTAAGCCATCAATTTTCTCATGTATTTCAGTGGTTTTGGATAATCAGAATAAACTACAAAGTCCAATTCCATATTCACAGCTGTGAAAATCAGCAGAAACTCACCAAAAGCACTAGAAAAAAAATCCCGTTAGTATAATTTTAAATTTACCAGCCTTGTTATTTTATTTCCTTTAGCTTCAAACAGCCAACCCTGGTCTTGTTTTTGTTGTTGTTTTTAATCTTGCTTCATATCACCACAGACACAAGTGTGGGTTGTCCTGAAGAAATATTTCTGCCCTCTTTGTCTTCAAATATAAAGATAATATGTTTGGACTTGATGTGTGTGAATCACTTGCTGTGTGCTGAATTTTCAGTGTATTTATACTGCATGAATCACCACTCGTTTTTATTGAGCAATTGTGTACTGAGTCACACATTTATTTTGGTAGGGATTTCATGGCCCATATTTCTGAGCACAGAGATTAGACAAGTAGAAACTCAATTGGCATAATTACTGTCAAGAACAATAAAATAAAGCGTGTTTTAGGTTTTCATTGCAGAAAGACAGATTGATCAGATTAGAAACATCGTGGGGGAAAAACCTACAGCTTTAAAACATAATCTTTTTAGTCTTTTCCTACAAGTAGGAAATTTGTGACTGTGGTTGAGAGCTGGTCAGTTGTGAACTGTATTTATGCTCTCACAATTTCAGTTTTCCTCTTAATTTATTTAGAGCTCATTAGATTCTAGTTGGGTTCTACTGCTGGTTGGCAGAAGATTGTGGGTTGCGTTACAATGGGTCCAAAACTATTCTTAGAATTTCAGGGCAAAAAAGAACAATAACTGTCAGAGTCAGCTTAAAAAAAAACCCAAACATTCCCCCAAATCCCCCTGTAACCTATAAATTAATGCCACTTTTCATAGCTACTTCACCACCAACCATCTTAGAAAAATTCTGGTCTTTGAAGTTATTTATTATAAATACTGAAGGAGGAGGAGAGGGTGTTCCCTGGGCCATGTTTTAGAAACATTGCATTCGTCACATAATGCAGTATGTGAAGCATTTGTGAGGGGGGGGATTTTCTCAGTGTCAGATTATTTTAATAGAACTCTCTGGTTAGGAAAGTGAAATTTATAGTTCCAATTTTTTATTCTCGTAAAAAAAGCATTCAATATTCTTCTTCCAGTCAGTGGGAACTTTTGTGCAGAAGTCAGTCCAAAATATTTATATGAGGTATTCATGCAGCATAGGAAGCTGTTAGAATGGTTTGAGATGGACACGTGAGTACAACCCTGTCTTTGAAACCACAAACCCACACCATATCTTTCTTGGGAAAGAGGAATGTTAATTATGAAATCCACATAACTGGATTTGACTCATCTTTGTACAAGCCAGGCTCCAAGGGCCCCAGAATCCTCAGGCTGCTCTTCATGGTCAGCTGTTTATGGGCTTGGTGTAATAATGGGGAATACTGAAGAGCACTGTGTATGTTAACCATTGAACAGGTTGATCTGAGGGTGAAACAACCAAATGTGCAAGGTCAGAGCATGCCAGCTCAACATCCTGGGTTTCATTGAACGCCAGGATGATGGTCTGTATCTCCTACTCTCCAAGCTCAAGGAAGAGGTAGTTTCCAGAGAGCCTGGTACTGTTAGTTCAACAGTTGGACTCCACTTTCCCAACCTCAACAACTCTGTGATCTCCATAGGGGATAAAGAGGAGTCCTAACCTGAAAAACATTGACTGAGAGTCCTTTTGCCTCCTGTAAGTGTAGATGGAACTTAGACCTACATTTAGTACACCTTTTCTGCAAAATGGAGGAATCAGACCCTCAGAAACCAGTTTTGTGGGGCTTCTTCAAAGACTGCCTGAAGTATTTTTCAGGTCACTAATAAGGTAAATAATTGGAAGTGACAAACATGAACATGTGTCAATAACAGCTGTTAGTGAATGTAATTGGGAAGCATTTTACAGTCCTGCTGGTTGTTAATAAAGCCTGACCTGACTGTTATCATCAATTGTCTTTGGCAGTTTGTACAAGCACAAACACAGTGACATTTCAGGTGACCTGTTGTGCCATTCATAGGAAATGGTTATGAGAAGATCAGATATGAAATATGTTCATTTGCAGTATTATATTTACAGAAACAGTTAACTACATTACTAATTCCCCACTGTTACCAAAACAGTCACAGTAAAGTCTGATACAGAGGCTCTAATTCAGGAAAAGTTCTTTGACTCAGAAAATAATCATATGTTTGCAATTAAAGAAATGATGGGGGGTTTACTGAGGCCAATACAAATATTTCCACTGCATGTAACGTACTTTGAAGTTGGTTCTAGGCATTTTTGTCACTATTAATGAGCATTTACGTACTTTTAACCACTTTGCTAAATTGATGTTCTTGGTATCCTGCTAGCACTGGAGTGCCAGGCACGTTAGCAAAGCTTCTTCTCTGTGGAAGTTCCAGAGGCAGAAGTTTCCCTGCTTGGGTTCAGAGACAGCTCTGAGAGGACAGGCTTATCTTTCCTCTTTCACAGCTTTGGAGCTGCATGGATGCAGTGATGCATCAGCAAGGACAGAGTTTCCAATTGGAAGAAGGTGTGAGGAGAGAAATTAGTTAACACAAGTCTGAGACAGTGACAATATTTACACAGTACAGTTTTAGCCTTTACCTAAAATAGAACTCCTTTTAATGTAATATCTCTACTCACTGGCAGAGTGAAAAACTAATACTTCTACTGGAGAGAAACATAGAATCTGATCCTATCACGATCCACCTCATTCTCTTGTCAGTGGGACATGAGCAATCCCCACACAGAAGACCTCAATAAGTTTTGGTCTGTTAGAGCCTCATATCTCTGTGTTGTCCCCCTGTGCTGGGCACTGGTGAGTTCACACCTCGAGTCCTGGGCTCAGTTTTGGGCCCCTCATGACAAGGAAGACATTGAGGGGCTGGAGCGTGTCCAGGGAAGGGAACAGAGGTGGGGAAGGGTCTGGAGCACCAGGAACAGCTGAGGGAGCTGGGGGGGCTCAGCCTGGAGAAAAGGAGGCTCAGGGGGAACTTATCTTTCCCTACAACTCCACGAAAGGAGTTTAGAACCAGATGGGTGTTGGTCTCTTCTCCCACGTAACAAGGGAGAGGACAAGAGGAAGCAGCTTTAGGTTGTGCCAGAGGAGATTTAGATTGGATATTAGGGAAAATTTCTTCCCAGAAAGGGTGGTCAAGCCCTGGCACAGCTGCCCAGGGCAATGGAGGAGTCACCATCCCTGGAGAGATGTAAAAGCTCTGTAGATGAGGCACTTGGGGACATGAGTCAGTGGTGACCTTGGCAGTGCTGGTGGAATGGTTGGACTTGAAGATGTTAGAGGTCTTTTTTAAGCTAAATGATTCTGTGATTCTATATCCGTTGATAAAATGTTTGGTTCATTATGAGCAGGTTAACCAGGAAGATTTAAGGCAGTAGGTCTCAAAGGGAATTGACTCATTTAAATAAAATGCTACCAAATGTAAACCAGTGTTCTCTGGCTTCACCTGCGTGTTTGAGCTGGAACAATAAACTACACACACTTACCTATGCCCAGAACATTAAAAAGAGTTCTGTGGGAATATCTGAGTACCCATAATACCAGCACGCTGATGATAATGACAGTGGTGAAAATAAGTAGATATGAAACAAGAAATACACTGAAAGAGCACAACTGACTGTATTTTTCAGACAAGTGATGAGTTTAGACTTGCCACAAGAATTGTTTCTCCTATGTATAAAACCAATCTGTGAGATGAACAAATGTACAGAAATAGCATCTTTTCAGTCTCTTTGCAAAATGTTTATAAATAGAAGTGAAGCTTTATATGAGAGGAATTTTAATGATCTTCCCAATGTGAGTTGTGTTAGCACTTAGATTTGCTAAATGGTGGCATGGGAATTGGACATATCTAATTATTACATTTTTTAAATCATCAGCCTTATGATCATCCAATATTGTTTCTAAATTAACAATGTGTGAGCAAGCAGTTTTGTTATGCCACAATATTTCCTCAGTAATATATGCACGCTTGTTTATGAAATGATTGTCTAATTAACAGTCCCCAGGGTTCCAATTTACAGTAAAGTACTGTTTTCTTTCTTTAATTCCTCCCAAAGAAAAAAAGATCAAGGCAGATATATTCTTGTTGTTTAAAGCTATTTGCAATAGCTTAATATTAGTAAAGAAATTTTCAGTCTTGTTTGTACACTTTAACATTCACCTGAAATACCACAGTAAAGTATTTGTGGGACAATTTAGGCTCAAGATATGCTGATCTGGATGACATCTGTGGAACTCCATTGGTTTAAACAGAAATATATGCTTAACTCTAAGCATTTTATTATTATATTATTATAATTATTAGATTATATTTTGACTATGTCATGCAATATCTGCAGAAAGAGTGAATTGAATAGATTTTGATGGGCAGAATGTCTTCACTGACAACATTGCTGTTATTATTTCTTTTTTTTTTTCCTATTTTTTGCTGAAATGTGATAAGCACATTCTGAGGAATCTTTTATTTACTGAAGGAGTACATCTTCTGTTTGGGGACTCATCCATATTATATCTGTTTTGCAATTTTGGCCACGTCATCACTACTTTAATTAACAATTTTTCCATATGAGATTTCACATTGTAATGCAAGAAGGGTGGGTTTGGTTTTTCCCTCAGCAGAAACAGATATAATCAGAACTCACTGGGAAAATCCTGTTTAAATGGATTATATCCTTCTCTCTTCACTTGTTTCTGATTAAATTGCTGCTGCACAGGGTAAAGGAATGGAAAATCTTCCTTATGGATAAAGTGTGTCTGTGGTGACCTGTAAGGTGCTGTCACCAACACCCTGGGTCATCTCAAGTCCCTTACCTGTAGTACATCATAATGTGATTATTTTAATTAATCTCCTTTATTTTAATTCCTCTCCATTGCGTAATGTTTTAAAACTGTGATAGCAGAGCTATAAATTCATGAACTAAACATAAAGCTTTTACAACTAAGAAATAATCAGAGAAGAAAATGATGAGTTTTGCCACATCCAATTTGGAAAGAAGTAATTCATAGTGGGTCTATTTTGATGCTGCATTGTCTAACTACATGTCTTTTTGTTGGTTTTTTTGGCAGTTGATGAAAACTGTGAATAAAATGTGTCCAAATATCACAAGAATTTACAATATTGGAAAAAGCAACCAAGGACTGAAGCTTTATGCTGTCGAGATTTCTGACAACCCAGGAGAGCACGAAGTTGGTTAGGATTTAATCTAAATCTGTTGAAGGGTGCTGGGATTGGGGTTTTTTTTCCCCTCCTCTTTTCCTGTATCTGCTGTAATTATCACTGATGGAATTATATTCATGGCAGCAAAGATTTCAAATGTATGTGGGAGGAACTTCAGCACTGTATTTCTAAATTGGGAAGAGGACGGTGAGCACTAATAGAAGACATTTTGAACATGGGATCAAATTCCTTAATGATAATTCTTTACAGTAATAAAATAAAAGTGAATTTTAGTACTGGGGAATGGATTTTAGTTGTGGGGATTTATGGAGCTATGGAAGAAATTTACCTTTTTTACATGGGGTGAATGCACATTATTCCTAATCATCCCTGAAGTAATTTGTTGTCGAGTACAAGGATTGTTGCACTCATTATAACCTTGAAATGCATATGTGAACCTGTTTTAGAGAAGGAAAAGAGTCTGTGAAGTCAGAAATCAATTATGTACAGTTACTGACTTATCTTTTAAGAGCATTAACATCTGTCTGAGAGAACTACTAGCAATGTATTTTTCAGGTTATTTTTAGACTATCAGAACTGTTAAAATCTACCTCTAACATGCCAAAATTGTGAGTGCAATTAGAAATATGTTTAACCAAGATTGGATTTCGGAAGTTTTACACAGTGGCTTTAGATATCACTGGCACATAAACCTGTTCTTCTGAAATAGCAACAGAAAGTAATTTGTTTCTGTAAAGTTTGTGCATCATTTGTGCAGTTAAGGCGTTTCTCCAGCTTTCCTTGGCTGATTGACATCAATGACATTTAATAGATATTTGATTTGCTGCTCTGACCACAGTTCTGCTCCATGTGTTTTCAACAGGGGAACCAGAGTTTCACTACATTGCAGGAGCTCATGGGAATGAAGTGCTTGGACGTGAGCTAATCCTCTTGCTAATGCAGTTTATGTGCCAGGAATACCTGGCTGGGAACCCACGGATTGTCCATCTCATTGAGGACACAAGGATCCACCTCCTGCCCTCAGTCAACCCAGATGGATATGACAAGGCATATAAAGCGGTAATGTGATTATCAGCACCTCCAGGAATTCTTTTATTTGTAGTAGATGAATAAAACATGCCCCTCTTGTCATTATTTTTTTCTAAGTTCATGTTTTACAATTTAAAAATTAAACAATAAACACGTCAAGATAAAATAAACCACCGGAACATTTTACTGAGGAAAAAACTGAAAGAAACAATATTTTATATGACATTGGCTAACAGGAAAATATATATGGAAAGAAGGGTTACAAACACTGCCAGAACAAACCATACTGAGGTGTATATATTAATGGGAACACCGTTATGGAAAGTGGAAAATCCAGGCAGTGTGTTTCTCATGAGGAACCAAACTAAGCACATGAGTATTTGCATTCTTCCACAGTTGAAATTTAATAGTGCACCTTTAAGGGGAGCACGTTGTGTAGGGCATCATAATAATTCTGTCTGGAAGAAGACAGACACCGGGAGGAAAAATTGTAAGGGTTGGTCAAATGCACTGGAAAATCTTCCAGGGAAGTCAGCAGAAGACTGGAACAGAAAAGTCACATTCATAGTCATGGAAGGGAAAGTGTGTTATCTCCTTTGCGGGATATATTTTGGCTAACCTGGAGGAGTTTTTCATGGGTTTTGCTTCACCGCATTCAAGGTTTCGTACAAAATTAAAAAAAGAAAAAAGCCAAACATTTATTTCAGTTAATTAAATGGTTACTCCTTCATTTCTCTGTACAGAATTACCTCTGGCACATTCCCAAGCACTTTGCTGAGGGCTCACAGGTTGTTATATTCTGAATGAACATTTATATTTTTTTTTCTTCCCTTTTTTTTTTCTTTTATTTTTCAATCTAAGGGTTCAGAATTAGGGGGCTGGTCTTTAGGACGATGGACTCAGGACGGCATTGACATCAACAATAATTTCCCTGACTTAAACTCTTTGCTCTGGGAGTCAGAAGATCAGAAGAAGAGTAAAAGAAAAGTTCCAAACCATCACATCCCCATCCCTGACTGGTACCTGTCTGAAAACGCCACTGTGAGTAAGGCCAGAGAGAGGGGGACACCAAGGCTGGGATGTACTGAGACGGAGAGATTTACATTTCTCAAGGAATGAGGAATTTGAGGCTGAAGTTCCCCAGCTGATCTAATCTTCCTGTCTAGATTTCCCTGTTAGTCAGTGGAAATAAAAATGCCCCACAAAAGGACCATTCACCCCCAGGTTTTAGAGGCAGGTCTTGAGGAAGGATCTGCTTCCTGGAGGATTCCCTTTTCCCTTGGCTGTTGAGAGAACCTGGAGGACTCAATACCCAATTTTCAGGCAGCAACAGGTAGACAGGGAAAAGCCCACCATGGAGCTCAGCCATGTGAATCAGGCTTCTCCTTAGTGATGTGGTGTAGATGAGGTCTTTGCAAACTCAGTGTCTTTACAGATTTCTCCTGGGGTTTTCTTATTTGTTCTTATTTGAAACATATTCTTACCTTAAATAACACAGCAACAGCTCAGGTATATGCAAAACCAATGCAGTGGCTTATGCTAAAGTCCTTTATTGGATTTTAGTGCCAAAAATTTAACTTATTTTTGCCTGACCTTTTAAATAAAATGACAACCATTAAGAGTGGATGAGGGGAAGGCAATTAATTGTGGCAGCTCTTTAGTGCTTCAGAATCACAGAATAATAAGGGTTGGAAAGGACCTCTGGAGATCCTCTACTCCAACCCCCCTGCCAAGGCAGGGTCACCCAGAGCAGGTGACACAGGAACACATCCAGGTGGGTTTGGAATGTTTACAGAGAGGGAGACTCCATGCCCTCTCTGGGCAAGCTATTCCAGTGCTCTGCCAACCTCCAACAAAAGAAGTTCTTCCTCATGTCAAGGTGGAACCTTTTGTGTTTTAGTTTATGGACATTAGGTTTAAAATCCCTGGGTTTGGAAACTCATTTCAGCCAATGGCAGGGGTAGCAGTGTCACCATGTGACATCTCTATCACTTCCTGCTCTTGTCACTGCACATAGATGTTCCTCAGAAATTAATAGCAGGAGGTTCTGTTAGTTTTTCTGACTTGTCTGTGACCTCCCAAGCATGGCTGACAATTTAAAGAAGCCCTTCTCCTTGGCCACATCTCTCCTTGCTGGCTACTCAAGCTCAGGAACTCACAGCAGGGCTCCTGCACCTTGAAACCAGCCTCTCAGATTCCCACAGGCTGAACCAAGGCTGCTCTTCCTTTTCCTCCCAGGTGGCGGTGGAGACACGGGCAATAATAGCGTGGATGGAAAAAATCCCTTTCGTGCTGGGTGGCAATTTGCAGGGAGGGGAGCTGGTGGTGGCCTATCCCTACGACATGGTGAGGTCCATGTGGAAAACCCAGGACTACACCCCCACCCCAGACGACCACGTGTTCCGCTGGCTGGCCTATTCCTACGCCTCCACCCACCGCCTGATGACGGACGCGAGGAGGAGAGCGTGTCACACGGAGGATTTCCAGAAGGAGGATGGCACTGTTAATGGAGCCTCCTGGCACACCGTGGCTGGAAGTGAGTGTTGGTAGAAGCTCCAACTTGGATGTGATAGTGCCACCACTGCCTGGTGCACATTGCAGAGGCAGTGCTGGTCAAATACGTGTTCTAAGAGGAATAAATCCCCATCTGACGGTCTGCTGACTGCATTTCATCACTTAGCAGAGCATTGAAGGAGGCACTGTCAGTAACACCTGGTGACTATTTAATTTACAACTGAGTTTTCCCAAAGTGCACATCCAGTACATTAGTTTTAAGAATTCTGGGCATTCAAGATGCTTTGTCAGGAGGAAACCAACCCAGGTCAAACCCACTGGCAGGGGGGACGCTGTCAGCCTTTGTCATCTCACAAGGTGACAACAGAAAACTGCTACTGAACATTAGAACAAGTGTCAGAGCTGAAGCAGTAACTCCAGGGAGAGATTCCAGTGGCCTGCAGATAAGGCAATCCTGATTTCAGCCTCCTGCTCACTGAACTCGGTCACAGATCAGCCCCCCATCACATTCACTTTGAGTTGTAATAATATGCCAAAAAAAGCTGCTGTTTGCTTGCTACCATCCTATTTTTAAAAGACCTGGAAATCTTTACACTTAAAACTTTGCATGGGCTCCATAGACATTTCTGCTGCCAGGATAAAATCCAGGCTGCATCAATCACCACACACCCAAGCCTGTCACCCTGTTAAGGAGCACGAGAGGGAAGCTGCGTCCCGTGGTGCAGCCAAAACATGGATTTCCAGGAAAGCCCAATTAGAAGCACATTTTTAACAGCATTAGGCACAGTTATCTCTAAGGGTGTGCACTTGGAGCAGACTCAGAATCAGCCACTCTGCTGATTCACCACAGTTCTGCACAAAATCTTGGTGTTTCTATAAGTAAATCAGTCAAACAACATATTCTCTGAAATTAAGAAATGAGCCTGGCTTCTGCCATCACTTGATGACAACAGGAGCAACGGCAGCAGTGATGGCAAACAGATGCAGGAAAGTGTCTGTGCAGCCCACGTTTCACTGGAACTGGCTCGTGTTTGGAACTTGCAGGTACTTCCACTGCATAAACATTTCTACATTTTGGACACAGCTTCTGTGGCTTTTACATTGGCCCATGTGAAGTTAATCCTGGCCAGCCTTTAAAGGCTACAGTCAAGAATTAACTTCTCAAATATTTTTTCAGGAAGTTAAAAAGCATTGGGTGAAATTGGGGGGGGGGACTGTTGAATTTTTAGATCACAAGGCCAATGCTTGACAATACATTGCTGTGCATTTCTGCAAATTCTAAAGCATACTCTGAAAACTCACTTGACCACTTAATTATCTAATTTATGAGCCTAATTTTCCTAAGTGCTATAAGAAACATCATTATGAATTGATCCAGAAAGATGACATTGGCCATGTCACTAACAACTGTCATACTAAGCTACATTAAGTAATGATGGACAATATAGATGCTGAATATTATCCTGATTTCTTAGTACCAATTACATATTGGATTTGCTTCATCTGATTTATTTCTTGATAATGTTTTCATTATAATTTATACCCTGCTCTGTCCCATTATAGTGAGACTTCCAGGATACTCTTTGAGACAAACTCTAGAATATTGTTTTCACTTGCAGTTTTTACACTGGATTCCACAGTAAACTTCAAAAGATATGGTTCCTATTTGAGCTCAATCTTCAACCTACAGAGTAGTTTTAGACTTCTTGTGTCTGCTTAGACAAGTGCAAGGAAGTGATTTGTAGTGCAGATATATATATATATATGCATATATAGATATGTATTTTGCAGCTGTCAGTTAACCAACCACCTTGCATTGCAAAGGGTTGTCCAAATATGATTCCAGATTTCTCCTGTATTTTTTCACTCTGTAATTCCATGACTATGTAGATATAGCTGTATAGCTCACTCCACTTTTCTTTTTATTTCTTTACCTTTTAAATCAACACTAACACTTTCTTGTCCTAACCCCTGCTTGTTTCGTGCCTGCCCTGAAGGTGACACTCCAATAAATTGCTTGCAGAACCTCTCCCACCTGCCCTTCAGTGTGGGTGGCATCTTGTTGTACCACACCTTGAAGCTATCCATTCCTTTTCTCCTCATCCATCTTCTTCCTGGCCTTGCAGTGACCATGCACAGAAACTTTTCGCTGCTCATCCCATGGGAGAATTTACAAGGAATTTTTCTAATTTCTTTCCAGTACCAGAGAATCCCTAGAGAAGTATGTGCAGCACAGATATCCAACACCTTTAAAACCCAGCCATGTGATTTCCTGCACATTTTTTGGACTGCAATGAATGCAGGTTCTTCAGCAATTTCACATATAAAGTTTCTACACTGGCTGAACTGCATGAGGACAAAGAATAGATTGATTTAGTTTTATTTCCAGTGTTTTCAAGGCTGGATTTGCATGTTCAGACACTATGAAAGAGTTGCTCTTGGCAAAGTTAAGCCATTTTCTTAAATACAAGTATTAAAACTGAGCAATTACCATGTATTGCTAAACATTTCACAGCAGATTAGTCAGGATGGGATACAGTATGCGAGGAGAAAATAATTGTGGCTGTTTCTCAAATAGAGAGGAAGCACATTTATGCAGAGTAGCATATGCCACTGGCTGATATTTAGGTTTTCCCCATCACCAGAAGTGAAAAGCTGAACATCTGTATTATATAATCCTCCTGCTCTGCTTCCAGAAGGCACAGAGGGCTCATTAAATACTTGACTACTGCTCTCTGGTAATTGGACAGGAGCAGGGGGTTTGTTTTAACTCTTTTCATTCAGAAGCAACTTTGGTGACTGCAACTCCAGCCAATCTGTTTTACTGTTTTGGCCACACTGTGGCATTTCTAAAAATCTTTTGCCCTGCCAGGCCTGCACACTGAGCCAGCCAGATAAATACCCAGTTTGTGTTTGAAGTTACATGAACAAGTTGCATAAAAAGATCAGATCTGATTAACAGATTTAAAAGGATATGAAATTGTTTCCTTTTTTGCCCCCTGTTGACAGGCATAAATGACTTCAGTTACCTGCACACAAACTGCTTTGAGCTCTCCATCTACGTTGGCTGTGACAAATATCCCCATGAGAGTGAGTTGCCTGAAGAATGGGAAAACAACCGCGAGTCCCTGATTGTTTTCATGGAGCAGGTATTCCACAGAAGTGCAAATTCTAAATAACTTGGTGACTACTCCTTTCAGTTTGAGAGAGAGTTTAAGGTTTCTGATTTATTTTTTCTTGCATGACTAATTACATGGTTATTGGTATATATGGTAGAAATCTTCCCTACAAATAATACTGACATGTCACTTCAGCCATGAAGCTTCTCAAAACTTGATTCTAGCTTGCTAGAAAATTTGCCAAAAACCTTGGGTCTCTTGCTTCATCTGTTCTTTTTATCTATATCTTGAATTTGATGCCTCAGGAATCCTAACAGAATTCATAATCTGATTCACAAGTTAATGCCTGGAGGGCTGATATGGATTTAATAGTGATATTTCACAATTTTGTGAGCCATAAAATAGGAACATAATACACATAATTCACACATGGAATTAATAATTCATTGTAACTCATTATTAATACAACTGTTCATTGCTGTGCAATATTTACTTGCTTTTTTATTCTCTCCATAGGTCCATCGTGGCATCAAAGGCATAGTGAAAGATGTGCATGGAAAGGGAATCCCAAATGCTGTTATCTCAGTAGAAGGTGTCAACCATGACATTCGCACAGGTAAAAGAAAAAAGCAAAACCATGAGTGCAAAAGGGCAGATTTGTGGTTTAAAAGCAAAATACAGAATTTTATGGAAGGTTTGAACTCTTTTAGGAGAAAGGCCAGCAGGTAGGATATAGTCCAAGGAGAGTGGTGCAGAAGGATTGGCACATGAGGAGGGAGTCATTTCTTTCTATGTTGCAGCTGTGTAGACAAGAACAGAACTATGGTTTTCCTCTCCACTCCCCTTCTTCTTTCCACCTCCAACAAAGTATTGAGCAAATAGGCTTTTATGTGCCCCAAATCAACAGCCTGATTAAGACTGTGTCTAAAGAACTCTTACTGTCACTTTTCTCATGTAAATGTAGTGCAAATCTAACCCAGAATAAATGTAGCACTGAAAAACAAGGGTGCAGGTAATGCCATGTTGGGTAAAGAATGTTCCTCTGGCTGTTAACAGTTATAGGACTGTGAATCAGAGAAACACAGAATCATTTAGGTTGGAAAAGACCTCTAAGGTCATTGGGTCCAATCATTAACCCAGCACTGCCATGTTACCACTAAACCATGTCCCTAATACCACATCCACATATTTTTTTGAACACTACCTTTATGTGGTTTTATGTCTTTGCTGGTGTTCTGGGTCCTTTATTTGATGCCACTTTCATGAGCTTTGCCACTGAGGCACAGTATGGCACATGGACACATAAACTGATTTCAAGCTATGGAATATCACGGAGCTTTTGGCTTCCAAATCCTTAATGTTTGCTACAGTAGATGATCTGAGCCAATAATGAGTCTTGGAATAGCTAACTTAGTTTATGATTGATTTCAGTGGTACTATGTCTCCATTGTAAGAGAAAACCTTGAATGACAGATATTTAATTAGACAATAATGATTCTGCCTTAAACATTTCAAAACGGGACCACTGGGAGATGATAGTGGGAATTAAAGTAATCAGCTGTTTTTTCTTGTCTTGGAAGCCTTGGCAGTCTTGAAAGTCTGCCATGAAGTGTGGGTTGTACTACTCTGTTAACAGAATTGATGTATTGCTCTGGTTGAGGCTGAGTTAATGCAGTGTGTGATTAACCTCCAGCCCTCTGTACACTGGATTGCCATGTGAAACAGAAGTCAACAGATTAAAGACAGTAAAAGTGCTACAGGAAGGAGACTCATTGACAAGTCCAATAAATGGGCAAGATCCCAAAATGCACCTTGTAACACTCAGGGAATGATGCAGCTATTTGTGTCTCATCTTATTGCTGAGCTTCTATGGCTCAAGGCCATCTGAACTTGTTTAAAATAAAAGTGTTTATTTATTTCTTTTTAATTTTTCTTTTTAATGAGACATTTAAGCTCACACTCTGTTTGGGAACCACTTTTTAAATGGGAACATAAAAGTTGTCTCCTGTTTTATATTATCCAGATAACAATACACGTCTCATTAGTCTCTGAAATCAGAGGATTTATGTTAGAGCCAAAAAGCTAAAATGACACATATAACTCCAGATAAAGAAGGCAAGCTGTCAGCAGTCTTCTTTCATTTATACCTTTTAAAATGAAAAATGTTTCTATTTAAACCTCTGAGTTGCCTTGATATAAAAATAGGCCAAGCAGGAGAAGAATTATGGCCACTATCTCTATTCAGATAAGTTTTGTTTCAAGTGAGCTCAGCTCTCAGGTGTCTACTGTTTCATGGATACATTAATGTGATTAACTACTCCGTAGAGCCAGACAAAATTTATCTGTAAAATCCCTCTAATAACATTTACATGTTTGAGAAAATTTCTTTGCTTCTTCCTGTGGACAAAGAAAAAAAAAAAGTGCATGAAACGCACATTGTTTTTAATTTCTCTTCGACATACAATTTATCTTATGGAAAGAGAGGGATGCTGACATTCAGCTAACACTATTAATAGGCTAATTGAAGACATTGATCCCGAGACTAAGAGCTTTGTGGGAAATTATTCCATTTTCTCCTGATGCAGATGTAACTATCGATTAAATCTGAGTGATTACATGTTGTCACAGTTAGATATGGACTATGGTCTATAAGATAACCTTTGGAAAGAGTTCATCAACTGGATGAGCAAATGCACCTGTTTTCCCCATGGTGCAAAGGCGTTTTTGGGGTTGCTTCCTGTAATTGCACATTTTGGGAATGTCAAAGTCTATATGGATGAAGAAACATTCAGTTTGTTCCTGGTGAAACATTTCTGAATCACAGCCAGAGTTCAAAGACCAATACATGTTTCTGTGTGATTTGTGCCAAAGCATAACTAATTTCATTTCACACAACATTTAGAGAAATTTTTAATCAATATTTTGATAAGATTCCTATGATTTCGGTGCATATTATGTAACAAAACCCAAGGGTTTTGAAGTCGCATTTAGTAATATTTAATAAAATTAGTCCAAGCTAAGCATAATTCTGATATTATAACTATCCAGGCTCATTCCTTGCTGCCTGGGCACTAGAGAAAATTTGAGTTTTAGTTGTTACATGCATTTGGTGTGCAGCAGTATGGTCAGCTTTCCTGGACAGTCTTCCATAGGTAAGAGAGTATTAGATAGATTTTTATAGTCTATTTGAAAAGGGTGAAATTTTAGTGTAAAAATCACTTTTGCACTTTTACGTAATTGTAAGTAAGGTCTGTCCTATAAGGCTCCAAGTATTTCTCTTAATTGAAATATTTATGGAGTAATCTGACACATTTAACTTGTAGTAGTACTGTGTTTGCCTTAATGCATTATTATTGTATCTAAGCAGACATGGCAATCCTTTTCCACATCCAGGAGGTGGAAATGGATGTCGTCTGCCTCCAGCCTGCTCCCACTGGAACCTATTATTTCAGCAAACCTATTATTTACTAAATTTATCTGGATTTTTAATTGTGTTTCTTTTGCCATCTGTTCTGAAATTTTTTACCTACTGGATTTAATGTGATTTTCAGAAAACCCCCAACCTTTTAGCCTGGTATTAAATTCTGGGCACTGACAGCTGACAGAAATACTTGTGTCTGCTGGCTTGTAAATGGAAAGGAGGCAAAGTGCATCCTGCTAATGGCTTAATATCCAGCTTTGTAATAAATTCCCGGTGATGTGTGTGTGTGTGTAGGTTTATTTCTGGCCTTGTGTGGGGCTGTGATGAACTGACTGTTAAATGTGTCAGAGGAATGTGGGTCAGTTTTGCACTCCCGGGGCTAGAGCAGGGCTTTGAGCAGGGATGTGTTCACAGCCACTCACAGGGTGATCCGTAGCCTTTTCCCTGCCCTGTAGGAATGCCAGAGCATTTGCAGCTAAAAACGAGCCCTTGGGGATAAATACAAGGAACTTGGGCAGATTTATGTCTCGTCCTTTTGTTAAGTCTCCAATGGACCCAACGGTAAAGGAGAACTGAATAAAGAGCTTCTCTTAGAGCCCTTCCTAAAAATACCTGAATCCTGAGAAATAGAATGTTTGATCATCAACCCAAATGTGGTCAAACTGGATAAAAGAAAAATCTAAGCAAGTTGGGATGTAAGAATTAACCTGAATGGGAATGGGTGCAATTCTGAGGCACTCAGAGACTGCAGTTTCAGGGTATAGTCAATGTTGATGTTTTTTTAACACTTGCTGTTTGCAAACGTGTTTTTTTTATTTTACCAAACCCTAAATTAAAATCCTATTTCTTTAAAAAGAGCCTGGCTAGTCTGATTTTTCCCTAAATATAATATTTTTATGCAAATCATCTTTACTTTCTGCTACACCCTGCATTGCCATCAACCCAAGGCCAGCACTAGTAAGGCTGTCAGTTCTCATCAGTGCTAAAAAACTCCAACCCCTCCTAGTGCAAGAGATGTTCCATTTCTATTTATATACAGAATTACATGTTTGAATATGTACTTTCATTCACAGTGGGTTTTCCCGGAACAGAGTGCAAAACTGATTTTTGGTATTAGTTTTTGACCTATTTCAGTTCACAACTAAGAATACCTGCTAGTTAAAATCATATTTAAAAGAAGCCTAAAGTCATCTTTATGTACAGATGGGTACATAAAATGAGTACATCTGAGATCATTTGTGAGGGAAAAAGAAGAAACCAGTAAGTCCTGATTCAATGAGGTGTTAAAATATATCTTTGTGCATGAGTAGTTTAGTTGATTACAGGAGTTCTGTTTGTGCATTTACAGGTAAGAAAGTGGTTAAGTACCCTGATGAATTATACTTTGTAGGAAAATCAGTGTAATAAAACTCAGTGTAAGGTTTTATAGACGGAGATATTTACTTACATCTCCAAGTGAGTTGATATTATGTATTCACATGCTTTGCATACAAAATAGCACCAAAACCTGTGTCCAGGCAGCCTGGTCAGGGTCATGGGTGCAGTGTGGTTACTCCACTGGGGCTCCTCTGGATCCATCAGTTACAATTAATTTGGGGAAGGTTTTTTGTACCCCTTGCCTCAGGACCTTCCACCTGCCAAAAATTTTAAGCCAGATTGAAGCCCACTGTCCTTTTTTCATCATTTGGAAAATGTGACTGAGGTGTGTTTTCCTCTAGGGTTGGCAGGACAAGGAGGGGGTGTGTGTGATGGGGAGCAGCCTCTTTGACACCCTCCTGGTGTGAGGATGGGGGAGTTCCTGGTTGTGGTGTCATCTTACCCCTGTGCATGGACTTCTGTATCCTCATTCAATTGCCCTAGGTTGCTCCAGGGGCAGTTTAGGTTAGATATTAGGAAAGACTTCTTCATGGAAAGGGTTTTCAAGCACTAGAACAGGCTGCCCAAGAAAGTGGTGGAATCACCATCCCTGGAAGTGTTCAAAAGACATGGGATTGTGGCACTCGAGGACATGATTTAGTGTTGAACATGGTGGTGGTGCTGGTTTGATGGTTGAAGGTGATGATCTGAGAGGTCTTTTCCAGCTGAGAGAATGGCCTGAAATTGTGTCAGGGCAGGTTTAGCTTGAATATTAGGGAAAGCTTCTTCCCCCAGAGGGTGGTTGGGCTCTGAACAGGCTGCCCAGGGCAGTGGGCACAGCACCAAGGCTGCCAGAGCTCAAGGAGTGTTGTGACAACACTCTCAGGCACAGGGTGTGACTCTTGGGGATGGGCCTGTGCAGGGCCAGGAGTTGGACTCAATGATCCCTGTGGGTCCCTTCCAACCCAGGAGATTCTGTGATTCTGTGAAAAAACACGTGGATGTGGCACTTGAGGATGCGGTTCAGTGGTGAACACAGGGCTGGGTTGATGGTAGGGCTCGATGATCTCAGAGGTTTATTCTAACCTTAATGAGTCTATAAACAACACCTTCCTCAAGGAGGAAAGACCAGTGTCCTAAAAAAACCCTCTTCTTCCCCTCCCAGGAGCCGACGGCGATTACTGGCGCCTCCTCAACCCGGGCGAGTACGTGGTGGGCGTGAGGGCCGAGGGCTACACCGCCGCCACCAAGACCTGCGAGGTGGGCTACGACATGGGGGCCACCCAGTGCGACTTCACCATCTCCAAAACCAACCTGGCGAGGATCAAGGAGATCATGAGGAAGTTTGGGAAGCAGCCCATCAGCCTGTCCATGCGCCGGCACCGGCAGCGGGCGCGGCACTGGCAGCAGCACCGATAGGCGCCGGCCCGGCATCTCCCGGTGCCCACGAGCTCTGCTTCTGCCAGCCTGGCTGTAGTCGTAGTGAGAGTTTCATAGCCCATCTCTTCGTGCATATTTCTCTGCAAGAGGCCTTTCTGTTAGTGGAGCGGGATGGACGGTGGGGGTTCTCGTTTTTGGCGGAAAAATCGGAAGCAAAATTTCAGGCTCAACCAAAAACGGCCCCCGGGTTGAAGGGAGAGGCAGGAAGAACGTAGGAAGGTGTTTTGAGTTAACCTGGAGTGAAATGTTTGGCTTGTTGGGTTGTTTGATCCTTTGTAAATCTGTTTTCTTTAAAAAGAGGAGAAAGGAGGATTAAAAAAAAAAAAAAGACACTTGTAAAGGAGAAGTGTTGTTCTGAATGCAAAATTGAAAAATGTTGTATCTAAAGTATAAAATTGGTGTATTTTTGGAATTCTAAAGAAGTTTGACATTCCTTATGTTTTATTCTCATATGGAAGGAAAGCTGAGAGGGGACAACTTACATTTAATGTGGTTAAAACATGTCATAATTTCATCCCCTTTTCCCTGAAAGTCTCTCTTCTGACAAACACCAAAACATTCAGAAAAAAAACCTGCAGTGAATAACCCACCTTTGCTTTCCTGCTTGGGTTGTTTATATTTAATGATGTAATGTGAGTCCAGAGTTTAATGCCAGGAGTGTTTTCTTCTCTGGCTTTTTAAGACTGCACTTTTACTCTGTGAACTAAACCTAATAAAAAGATCCTGGGATAAGGACCACTTTGGTGCTGTGGCATTGCAGCCCTTCTCTAACGTGGGACAAGGACTAGAACAAAGCTTTTCCTGAGGAACAGCCAGTTGTGTCATGTGTATGAGAGGAGAGTCTTAGCCACTGATAGGTGCTTAGTTCATAAATTAATTGATTTTTGGCCTGATTTTAAGTGCCTTTTGTGCTCATGCACATCTCATGCCACTGTCTTCTGTGACATGCAAGGGATTTTGGGTCCCACTGCATGATCTGCTCATCCTGCTTCTGCAGCTGCTTCTTCTATGGGAGCAGGATTTGTGCTTTTTTTACTGGCTTTTAAGTAACAAAACTGTACAGCAGGATAGGATTGAGGAAAGATGCAGATCTAGAAAGAATGAACTAAATACACACTGGACAAAGTGTCAGTGGATGAAAATGTGACTTTGCTCTGTTAGCTCCAATGCTATGATCTTAATTATACCAAAAAAAAAGGGTCAGCTACATGATTTTAGCCAGCCAAAAGTCTGTGGCTAAACAAACATCTTGTAATATGCTTGGTAGAAAGACTGCAGCATACACTTCCAAATACAATTCTGTTTTAAACATTTTAATTGCTATTACAGTTTTTGCCTGTTTGATATGATTCTTGGAACAGACATTCCCCAAAGTATCGTTCAAAGCTGAGGAAAAAATAAAGTGCCAGTAGAAAACTTACTGTAAAAGTATCACGTGCCATCTGTATTAAATCCTTTGTTTTTCTTGTCAAGGAATGTTGGAAACACATACAAGGCAAAAAGATTTAGAGAATGAATAACATAATCATGAACTCTTGCATAGTAAATAGCCATATTTTTAAATTTCTTAGATAATTCCAGCTCATGCTTTTTGTGCAATTACCATTAAATAACAGCAATGTGTTTGCCAGCAAGGGCTTAAACAAAACAGAAGAGTGCAAACGTAATTCTCTATGACTTAAATTGTGGAACAGCTCCAAGTCAGCATCATTTAGATTAACTCATAGAAGTAAACAAATAATCCAATCATTTGGAATTATTTCACCCTATTTACCACCCTTACAACGTTCTATATGCCATATATTTTTGCATGGCAAATGTAACAGCAATTTGTCAAAAAGGGTATTCTTTTCTGACAGGTGAGAAGGGATTAATGATGTCTTTGTGCAGGTAGCAACGTGACATAATTTTTGAATATGGAGTAATGAGAGCAGACAATTTGTTAGCAGTTAAATTTGGCTTGTTTATTGGCATGTGTAGGTTTTGTTGTCACCACAATAGATCAGGATCATACACTATATTTTGTGCTATGAACTGATGGAGTTTCTCAGGTGGATTCTCTCTGCAGTCCCACAAAGGCTGTCCAGTTGCCTTGCTGGGGGTGGTTTAACATGCACAGACAAACGAGGAACAAACGAGCCAAATTTAAATCCCTCTGATGATCAGGTTGGAGGTGGAAACCACCCTCTTAGTCCTGACAGGTCAGTTTTTTCCACCTGAAGATAACGGTGTTAGAGCTTAACTTCACAAACCTGGAGGTTGCCATGCTTTGCTCTCAGAAATGAGCTTATCGCAGCGAGAAGTTATTTTTCATTTGGTAGCAAGAAGTGGATTTCATGGGGTATTCCTGGACATCTCTTAGGTGAAATTAGAGAGATTCTGATTGCTGAAGACCTCATGAACATCAGATGCTGAAGATGGTGGCTTTGGTGCTCTTCACTGGCCATCACTAGTGCTGACACATATTTGGGCACAGCAAAATGTGACTAATGCAGGTGACCCTACTCCATTTTAGTCCAGGCATTACTAAATAAATGGCCTAATAGCTGTCAAGTGTACTTGTCTGTGCAATTATTTTTTGGTTGTCCAGCACCTTTACACTGGGAAACACTCAAGCTCAAAGGAATTTTACCAGGAATTTCAGACGTGTGAATGTCTCATGCTAAGATGTTTATGCCTGCCTTGGATATAATAATATTACCAAACTGATGTGTGTCCTATTTCTATGTAGTTGTGCACTTGGGAGCTAAAATGTTCCTTTCCTTTGAAATACATAGCACTGTTATTTAGCCTTTAGACAGATCCAAAACAGAAACCAATAAATCTGGATACCAGTGCTTTCTCTTTATTTACCTTTTCCACCTCTTTAGAACAGGTACTTTTTTCTGAATTCTGTGCTTTTAATCTCTTTTCCTTTCAGTGTTGTAGGAAAACAGAAAATCCTGCAGAAATGCAAGGAAATGAAACTTGAGGATGAATACCAGCCCTTTTATAATTACAGATCCATTTTAACAGCCACTTACGTGAGAACTTTGCTAAGCTTTTATCATCCGTGCTATAAAAGACAAAAATACAACCCCTTCCAAGTAATAAGAAATTCAGCTGCACAACCTCACCCACACAGTAAAGGTTAAACAAATGAAAGGTTAAAACATGGAGATATTCCACTCTCCTTGATAATATCAGCCATCACTCATCTGCTCCCATGCAGAGCCCTGACAATCATAAAACACAGTGGGAGCTGACTGGCTTCTCCTTAACTATCCATGTCATGTTATCCAGCTATTCATTTTTTATTTCTCTAATTATCATAATTTTTATCATCTTCTATCTCAGTTTCTTCTCATTCATCCTTGTAATAAGTGCAGTAACCTCTCAAAGACAGCTCTCAGCATCTGCAAGTCACAGAATGGTTTGGATTGGAAGAGACCTTGAAGGTCATCTCGTTCCAACCCCCTGCTATGGGCAGGGACACCTTCCACCATTCCAGGTTGCTCCAAGCCCCGTCCAACCTGGCCTTGGACACTTCCAGGAGTGGGTGAATCAGCTTGGGAACCTACTGAAACTATATCTCCTTACACGTGTTGGTATAAATGTAGTGTATCTTGGTAATCTCTAATCCAATTTTAATCTGCTGGCACCAGAAGGCTGTTAGGAGTATCTTAGTCTGGCTTTTACCAGGAGGTTGAGCTCTGTGTGGGTAAAACTGATAAAAATGAATGTGAATGAAGTCATTGTCTATGCTGGTTGAAAAATACTTTTTTTTTCATTGGATATTTTAAGCCTGTCACATATTTTCAGCTTCTGTCACCAACTATTTTCCCTTCCTTTATCCACGTATAGCTGTGGGTTTTTTTCTCTACCTTCAGCTCATTATTTTCCCTGAATTTGGCACATCTCCCCAAAGTGTGGATTTCAGCAGGCAGTGACTGAGTGATCCAGTCAGATTTACTTGTCTCTTTTATCATCCTGTGGTAGGTGGTTGACCTTTTTGAGAAACACAAAAACAGAGATGAGTTAACTTGAAACAGAGTACAAGTTTCACACCAATGACTCTCACTGGTTTAACCTTTAAAAACTGGCAAGTGATATGCTGTGGGTCCTAAAATGCCCAAGTTTGGAGGTTCTTTACCTGTTATCTTTGTAACCAGTCTCTGTGAGTTTAGGTAGCAGCCATAAGCCTGAGGGAGGAAGCATAAAAGCACAAAGAATTCATGTAAATCGTGGTACCACCACCTCCTGCTGCAGGACTCTGCTATTCCAGCCTGGAAACACTGCAGGACCAACAGTTCTGTGCACACCTACCAACTCTCCAGCTGGAGCCCAGGGAAGCTCTACTTCACACTCACTAAGAGGGTACAACTTTTCAAAGCCTTTTTCTTCTCTTACTGGAGCAGTTGCACACCTAGAGAGAGGGCCAGAAAATCTCCTCTGTATATTTGAAATAATATTTATTTACCAGTTCACAGTATGAACAGAAAGTTTTTTTTTCCTTTGAATTCCATTTCAAATCTGAACTGCATATTCTGAAATACTTGTGCTGTTTAGAGAAAACAGATAGTAACAATTCCCACCTATTACTAAATGAACTAACATCAACCACCTAATATTCTAATTATCTAGTCATTAACTCTCCTTTAATTTGCAGCAGCTGCTTTCTAGAATTCAATATATCACTTATGTCAACAGCGCAATCATTCTTATTAACTCTGTGCTATCCCAATGGCAATAAAAAAGAGCATTCAGAGCAAACTCTCATTTAAAGATTAAAAAAAAAAAATCATCCAGTCTTATTGTCAGCAAGTAAAATTTGAAAAATGGAGTTACTTTTTGTGGTTTGGATGTGACAGAAATTCAATACCTGGGTTAATAAGGATCAATGGCAGCATGATCTCACTTCAGTAGACCAGAGGGATGTAAATTTGCAAATCTGTTTCTTACCACAAGAATGTGGATCTGATTACATTGCCTCAATGTGAAAGGTGTTAAAATCACATTTCTGTTTGTTATTTTCTTGTGAACCCTCTAACTCACAGTGTTAAAGTCACATTCCTATTTATTAGGAGGCCTTTAACTCACAGGTGAAGGGGATCATTAATTTGGCTTGGCCCCAGCTCTGACTGAGCTCAGTGATCAGCTCCTCCTCACTCCAAGGTTGTTCTCACGAGCAGGAGTAGCTTTACAAATATAATTTTGAAGGAGTGGGAAGTGAATGGAAAAATTGATTCTCTTTTTATGATCTGCTCTGTATCTGCCTTATTTGTTTATATTTGTCCATGGAAGGGTGTCTGGAGCCACTGGATGAACATAATGGTTTCCTGGAACGTT